TGTGTCACACAGAACAGAACATTGTTCGTTGATTAGCGATTTCTGGAAATTCAGCTGTATCCAATTGATTTTCCGTGATGCTTCGCAGGAAAAGGAGAATTCTTGGGATCTAGAGATGCCTTTACTATGCCATCCGTGTTGGATGGGCAATCAACTAAGAAATCAGGGAACTGTAGGCAATCTTAACATCTAAAGAGCTCTGTGACTTTGATGCCACAATGAAGAAGCTGAACTACAGCTGCTGATTCTTTCACTGCTTTTGAATGAGTTTTCGAAACCAGCTCTTCTTCCTCATACATGCTGATAATGTCGTCCCCTAAGCGACTGATTGTGCCGTAGGATGTTTACAGGGGCATCTCGGTCTCACCGTTGCCAAGTGGCTGCTTTCATAGTCCACGATTTGGCGAGCGACCGATCGCGCGACTGGTCGCTAGCCAAATCGTGGACTATAAAAGCAGCCTGTAGGGTGCGAATCGACTCCTTAGGGCATTGGAGCTCTGTACCGAGTTCTCACAATCGCATCGCGTTCTACTTACGCATGTCGCAAATTTTTGCTTTCTCCTTATTTTTGGATCGAATATAATCCGGATAGTGATCAGGATCCTCGAACTCGGTTCTTTTTTTGTTCTAGGAAACACTTATCGCACACACTTCTTCAATAATTATGTATGAAGTGAAGAAATTGAGAGCAGTAAAATGCAAACTAAAATGCTTCGAGAAGAATGAGTGGTTCAAAAATGTAAGATTTTCTGGCTTTGGGCTTTCTGGCTATTCAAGTTCTGTAATAATTGAAAGCTCAGTGACTGTATGTCAATTCCATCCGTTCGTTTCCCTCGGCATTTCCATTGACACTTGGACGGAAAATTCTCAATCTCTCAATTGAATATTTCCTTTTGCAGTTTCATTTTCACAACCTTCATTTTACGAAAGGAACCGACCTCTCAATTACTAAACCAAAAAAATAAGGATTGAATGCTGTTGCAGAATACTAGCAAGGGAAAGATACTTGGTAGCAGTGGCCATTCAAATGAGATCTACAGTAGCGCTCAAAAATCTTCGGCCAAATGCTTCTTCAGCTGTTCTTTTCAGACGCGCTCCTTTTCCTACTGAATCCAATCAAGTGAAATTTCGATATGTGTAGCATGGATGTATTGAGAATATTCACCACTTTTAACCTGTAATCCGATTATGTTCCAGATACCCCAAAGAGCTTGAACTCAGAATCAACGGAAAATACAGATGATGGTCTTTCTGGGAATTCTTTCCTTTTTGCCATGTCTAAAGTGTACGACCGCTAATGCAGAACACAGCAGGGTAGAAAAGCGCACATGAGATGCGAATAAATGCAGAAGCCACTAACTTTGCTTGCAGCAAAGTTTGCTTCCGCAACAAACAGCTGGCTCTAATTATGTGGATATTGTTATTTCGCGGTCAAACAGTGGTGGATAGTGTGAAATATGCTTCAGTCAAACGTACCAAAATTTCGCGCGACTTGTTCAGCCGAGAAAAAAGTTATGAACGAAAAGGCGTCAGAGTTTTGAGTGCTGCTATATACCGCCTTAGGTGGTTTCGAACTCCTGATCCTAAATCTGTTCCAAATGTGGTAAACGATTCTGGGAACAAAGTTACGGAAACTATTCTTTCGTGTTATATTGCTGTGCCGAACACATGCCCGAACCGTTGCAAAGCTTTCATTGTGCAACGGTGGCGGAGCTGGTAGGGTGGAAGGTATGAACTCAAGGTTCGAATACATGATGCAAACGCTCGTTTTGCTTTTTCATGAAATAGACTCCAATTGCGTGAAGAACATTTTTGAGTTAGATATTGGCCTCCTTAGGAGCTCCCTCACATTTCAGTATCCCGGGGAACGGTAACCCACGAAAAACTTTTTACCATCACTAACCGATAGATACCCCGGTCCACCCTGAGCACCTGAGATAGTGTTTCGAAATTCTAAGCAGCACCCTGCACTTGCAGTAGAGAGCAGTTAAATTAGTCAGCTAACCAGAGCCTTCTTTGATGGGAATGCGGTCCTCGCATCCGAGGAGTACTGTCCGCATTTCTAAGCGCTGATACGAGCTGAATGAAATTTCCAAAAAAAAAATCCTGTGGAACAGTAGTTGATCTATCTATGTGCACGTACGATTATCCACCAACTGCCAAGATATCCTTTCTCGAGATAAACATGGGTGATGCGGTGGAATATGATACCATGGCTAGACTCAACCCTAAACCCACTTTCGACTAGATTTGAAGTTGGCCTCCATCAAGACTTCACTGCTAATTTTGAGCGTCACCCAGTGGAATTGACTGTCGTGCAATGAGATTTCTATATTAGTGGTATGATAGATTGTTCTTTCAACTTACTCGCTAATCTGAGATCGACAGATCGGTCCGCTCCTGATACCTGAGAGCTACAACCGCACAAGGCATCGTAACTTGTCGAAATAGGCTAATTCGAAAGCTCATGGTCTTTCTCATTCCCTCTTAATTATCATAGATGGAACTGGGTCACAAATGTTGAATGTGAAAGCACCCTTTTCATTTAATTATGCCATTAGGCTTCGAGTTTGTGGGTAATTAAGAATCAAGATGTCTCAGTTCAAACAGTCCTTTACCATGTAGTGTCCCTCAAATGTAAAATCAATTTGCAAAGCTGGTCTTTGGCATTCATTTCAATTTGAATTTTGTGTTTGCTTTTAAACTCTCTACTCCTGTGAGCTATTTGCCATAACAGGTGATTACTGGCTCAGATTTAACGAAGTAATTATGCATGTTGATTTTTGGTAATATTAAAGTACGGTATAAAGGGATTTATTTAGGGTAGGAGTTTAATGGTCGCGTAATTTTTGTTGTTGTTGCATGTCCATACGAATTGTCGTCTTCGTCGAATTTACTTTGCTGATCGATTAGATGGTAATGGAGATGAGCTGCCCGCCGATTTATCTACCAATTCGTGGTCGAACGAGTGGACCAGTAAGCATGACCTCCTGAGGTGGATTTTTTGAATGAAATTCGATCCAGCTAACCCTTGTATACACTGCATATGACATTTGTAGAAGAAGTAAAGATTTTGAAATAAAGATTCGTATTATTTATTCGTGAAGAATACTTAGAGATATAAAGAAGCCACGATAAACAAAAACAGATCAACATTCAATGTGAACAAAAAGCAAAATAAACAGATTAATAGCCATCCTCACCAGGTAAAAACAGAAAAACACGTAGTAAAACACGTAGTAAAAACAAGTAACACGTCAGAACACAATAAAAACAAGTTTTGATTTGTTAAGAAATAGCCTCCGCGCCAGCTATAGTGAGTCCATGACGATGATACACTATGGTTAGTGATTCGTTTTGTTGAATTGTTCACCAAGAATCACCGGCGAAGCAATCGGTTGTATCAACTGAAAGTTACCGAATTCTATTGATGATGATGTTAGAGAATAAGTTTAGTCAAACATAATGTTTCAGTTTCGATTGAATCTAACATGACTTTTCAATTTGCTTTTTTATCTCAAAGGCGTCGATACACTACTGAGAACTAGCAAAATTACAAACCCTTACTATTCTTTCTAAGCCTTGACTTAATGCATTCAACTCTCTCACAGCCCCGAACACCTCCATCTTTGCTTTCGTTATCGACTCCGTTGCAGCTTTTTTCGAACTCAAACTCGTCCAGGTGGTCGTCGCTCTTCTGGCAACGACAACGTGAGGACAAAACTTATAAAGACAATACTGTAGGTAAAAAAATCGGGAATGCTAATGAAGTCGAAGGCTTCAGCTCGACTCACATTCACTCAAAATGGGATAATGGTCCTTGTGTTCCCGCATTTACTTCGCTGCTCTTCGTCTCATATCCTTGTCATTGAACTAATCTATGTTTCTCTATACAATTTAATAAAAGGCCGAAATAAATGAACTAATAATATAACATAACATGACATAACATAACGCAATGGGTTCTGCTTTTCCTGTGTGCTAATTTACTGCAATGCACAATTTGCTTTTAAAAATGACAGGCCTGATCAGAACTTCTGATTCGGGATAACTGGTAAGCCATGTACAGCCACGACTGCTATACACAGTAACTCTCCCTTTGGTTAGAATCTTAGGAATTAGTCACTACTTCTTAGGATGGCATCTGGTGCCAGCTTTTGACGCCTGTATGTACTGTAACATCTGAAAAGATTGCTACCGTATCTATACAGTAGCGCTCAAAAGTCTTCGGTGAAATGCTTCTTCTGTCGTTCTTTTCAGTCGTAACTCCTTTCCTAGTGGATCGAATCATGCGAAATTTCAATATGTGTAGCGCGGGTGTGTTGTGAATATTTACCACTATTGATCTGCAATCTGATCATGTTCCAGAATTCTAAGGAGCTTGAACTCAAAATCAACTGAAAGTACAGATGATGGTCCTTCTAGAGTCTCTTTCCTTTCTGCCATGTCTAAAGTGTACGAGCGCTAATGCCGAACTTAGTTATGTGGGTATTACTGTTTGCAGTCAAATTGTGCTGAGTAGGGTGAAATATGCTCTAGTTAAACATAGCAAAATTTGACGCGATTTGGTCCACTAAGAAAAAAGTTATGACGCCTTGCTCCGTTGCTGCGATACCCTCCAGCACAGAGTCACCAATTACCACTCTTCGACGTTTTTTCATATTCGTGAGGTGACAACAACTAAAGGCAGGAGAGTAATGCGCTGAAGTTCTTGATTTTTTTCATGTAAAGATTTAGAACACGGGTAAACGTTTGCAGCTTTACCCAGAAGTCCAGTGTGGAGCATCGACAGCTCAGTGCAATCGGCGTGGTGAGTCAGTGAAAAATAAACAGCAACACGTAGCAGAAATCCGATGTCCAAGGAGTTGTTCAAGCTTCGTACCGTGAAGCATTCCCTCCTTTCACCAGGGAACATTCGGAAAATGTTGCTGTTCAAGCTCATGTGAGATACGATTATCCCATAGCGGATTGCGATCACCATTTCTCGCCTTGACGTCGGGGCACGAGGTCGTGTGGGGGAAGCAGGAGCTCACCGGAGGTCGAATATAAAAGTAAGCTACGGATAACAAAGTTACCTTCGATACCACTAAATGCGAACACTACAGGGACCGATCGACAACAACGACCATTTGTTCCCTCCCCACGCGAAACTTGGGAAATGTTGGCCCTATGCAGTAGCACATATTGTTAGACTGCGGTTTTGTGCAGCGGTACCGCTTCGTTAAACCATACACACGTCCTGGGGCGCATACACCTAGCAAAAGAAGATTCATGCGAGGCCAGCGGGAGAAGACGAGTTTTTCCCATTGTTTTTGACAACTTAATTCTCCTTATAGCTGCCCGGCAAGTGATTAAGCCTACGTATGGAACGTTAAGCTGATGATTCGGTCTCCTCCAGACCATCATACAGGTGGAGCCAATCGGCGCTGCGTGTGGTGTCACTGCTGGTGAGCAGAAATTTTCTTAAAGGCACCGTTCACATAATTTTGGGTAATCCAGATTATGATGAAAAATGGAAGACAAGATCGGAACTAGTGCGACTGAGGTGAAGAAACTGCGTGCATCGGTGTTTCCAAAGTGAAAAAAGGCTTCGAAAAAACGTTAAAAAGGGGGCTGGACGAGAATGAAACTAGAAGAATGAAGAAGGGTGCGGCGTCCAGACGAGCTAAATAGTGTGTTTCACTGCGCGCGTGTGGGTCCTGGTGCGAAGAACAGACAATGGTGAGCAAAAATCCATTCACTTATAAGCATAAATGAACAAAAAACCTTAGTAACAGCAAAAGTAGCTCACCTTTTTCAGCCTCTAGGAGCAGGAAATTGAATAAGGGATCGCGGCAGCAAAAATAAAAAGGGAAAAATGGGAGAAAAACATCGCCTCATCACTCGGCGATTAGCTGATTGTGCGTGGGTCCTAGAACGAATAATAGCAATCTGTATTGTCTCGACACACGTTTAACGTGACACCGATCGAGGGGCGGGCACGCGAACTACGGCAACAACGGAGCTGCCACTATGCCCTGGACGTCGAGATTGGGGGAGTGAGAGGTCCCTTCTACAACCCATGGGGCCGCTGAGTATTAATAAGGTAAGTACTCAATAACTTTATTATCGTGAACGGTGCCTTTAAGGAGTTAAACATCCGCAATTCTCCAGCTCCATTTCCTGTACCAGATACTACACAGCTTGATAGTTGGATGGCGGAATCAAGACCTAGACGTGGAGAGGCTACCGAAGAGAAAGAGAAGGAGCGCTAAGCCTACAACCCCTCCCTTTTTCAAATTCAAAGCCCCCAACGCGGAAAGCGAAGACAGCCATAGTTGACTTTATAAATATTAACGATTGCTGTTGCAGATATATTTACTGGCATATGTACTCAAATCCCACCGTGAGCTCTCATCTTTGAGGCTGGAATGGAGATTATTTACTACAGCATCGACGAACATCGGTTCCTTGTCAAATAAAACAGCATTGATTGCCTCCATTTTGTTTATCTTCAGGTCTTCAGGACACTCACGGAGGGCACAAGCCAGCCATTTTCCTGAAAAAGAGCTACTAAAGAATTTAGTTGCCTGACAAGCCACGGGTTGGCCTACCGAACTGGTCATACTCATCCTCTTTTCGAGCCGTCGCCCTTGCGGCGTATAAGCCAGCAGCAGTTTCATTCACACGAGCTGTTGTTCTTCTTATTAGCTCCAAGGTTTCTGAATCTAAAATATACAAACCGCAGCAATCCTACATGTTCTAAATGAAGGAGCATACCGTCATCATATCTCCTTTTCTTTCGCTGGGGCCTAGTTGAATGAGAGCTTTCGTACTCGCTGAAACTGCTGCTAGAGTGACTGCCGAGCTCCTCGTCAATATTCGAGACTGTTCTACAACGAAATAGCTGCAAAACATTTAGTGAAGCCATATCACTACCTCACGGTAGAAAATACCTTGTGCACTCCGTCTCTTCTAGAAAATTCAAGGCTTCTTCATATGGCCAGTGGGATAGGGCAAGCGATCTCGTTTCCCTTTTGTTCCTCCTCCTTCTCCTCCAGCGATCTCTCAGACTTGACCATATTTTCTTAACTTCGCTTACTAAAACACAGCATGGATGTAGCCTAGGCGATAGGTTAGACGGATTGAGACGAGCAAACAAAACATACAAGTCAAGTTGAACCCCTCGGCCTTCAAATCGCGGAAAATCCTGTTCCACGCGTCGTCCCGAAGATGCCTTATTCTGAAGAACTCACACCTGTGATCCCACAAACACGCCTCAACTTCTACTAAATCAATTATGCGAGCCTGCACGCTCTCTGAAAACNTTGAATCAAACTAATGACACACATGCAGACTTTGCTGCAGAATGCAAATGTTCAGCTTCCACTTGTATATGGTACTGTACTGGCAAAAGTGATGTACTGGTAAGTGGTGCACTATCACCCACGCATGGACACGGTTTCGCGTACAGGATTGGACAGCCTAGGCTAACCAAGCCTTCATCATTCCAGGGTCGGTTAGTTGATGCCAGACTGATCTGAGAGGATACGAGCACTGAATTGTACACCCGCTGGCCACCGCAAGCCGTTGTGTAGACTACATACGCATTCAATACGCCACTGCGATTCTAAAAAGAAGTTGAATAGGGGGACGTATCCATCAGACGGGACCGGTCAACGTACAAAGAGGTTGTCCTTTATGATTATGCTAGCAAGTTCTATGGCATTCTTATTAAGAGGAATGGATGGAATGTCCAAAATTCCTATTTTCCTCATTCTGTTATTTTTCCTTTTTTAGTAACTTTCCCGATTCAAGGTATTAGAGTGGAAATGGTATGAAGAAGATAACTGAGAAGTTTATGGAGCGCTCACACCTAAAATCTAGGAAAGAGTGACCCTGATCAGAAAAATTGGTTCTCACTTTGCTATACACCTCCCATCTCAAAGGAGAATAATAAGAGATATTCGTCATGTGCCCTATGCACTTACAACGAAAAAAGAACAAAAAAGAAGCTAACCATACAATGAATAAACGGCAAAATGCAGAATTCACTTAAATGAATAACAAAAAGGAACTAAATTTACTCACCCATCCGTCACACTCCTGCGCTCCGCGCGCCTGCGAATTGACACTTTCAATATATTGAAACCTGAAAGTAGAATGACCACAAAACAGGAAAGCACTCGTCGCACTCACCATCAATGCTAATATTGCGCCTTCAGACTTCAACGATTCAACCGACGCTTCTCCGTCCCTCCGGCGCGTTGTGTGCATGCGATAGCTGCCCTAGTCCTTTTTTGACAATATGGGCACGCGATCCAGTGTTGTGAACAAGTGGCTACAGCCACCATCGCTCGCACGCAAGCGCCGTCGTCGCCGGACAGTTGGACGTCTATAGAATCGCTGAAGTCTGAAAGCAGCCATTAACAGCGTTTGCTGTTAACTATAACAACATGGTTACGTATTATTCAATGATAGCATTTATTCAGAAAAAGCAAAAAGGGGCAAAGGAAAGACGGCAAAAAGTAAGCCGAAGGCACTAACACTCCCAAAGAAAAACTGCGTCTTTCCTTTGCCCCTTTTTGCTTTTTTTCTGAATAAATGCTATCATTGAATAATACGTAACCATGTTGTTCTGAGTGCGGGACTGGGTGCATGCAAGACTTTACCGACTTTTCGAAACCGATCCCAATCTCTAAATCCAACCATGACCCACCCAACCCCACTCCTTTCACAAGTTCAACTTAATTTTAACTAGTTTCGACCGAGGCCCACAAATTTTTTATATGATAAAGATAAAGATAATTGATTTTTATATGTTAAAGATGTTTTATATGATAAAGATATAGAGAGAGCCAGAATGTGTAACCAGACGTCCACCCGCTGTTGGATTTATTTCGAAAGAGGGGCGGGACCATGCCAGGAGAGGTCCCGCAACGAATGCTAGCAAAAGTTGTTAAGTTGCCACGAACGACACCTGTAGTTTTAGTTGGCCTTCCTGTAAGTCGTAAATTAACAGGCTGAATGGTTTGTATGAAATTCGAGACGAGACCAAGAAATTGAGTCGTCCGGCAGGCGACGAGATCTGCAACTTTCCTTTCTTCTAGGGAAGTGGAATGAAGAATCGTTTCTTTAAGAAAGAGAAAACGAGTGGGACATCACTCCCTACTGTTGTTTTTTTGGACGTTCTATGTGATGTAGACGAAAAGTCAGGTCACGCCGGAAGTCACTTCGCTGCACGGCTACATGACCGTTGGTAGCTGATACCGCTAGTACCGCGCTGGTCCCTTCTCTGTGTGTTTCACGAAAAAATAACATCTGTCAACTTCTGTCTTGCCCTTATTTTCATTCGTTTGTGGTCTTAATGGAATTTTTCAGCAGTTGAGATGCTCGCTTTCCTCGCTCTTTTCCTGGCTGATTCTCATATTCAGTATCACTAATTTTTATTGGTGCTTATAACTGCGGTGTGGGCAAGTCTCAGGTGAGACAGCCTTCCGGTAATGAATGCTCGTGTACGACACACTTTACTAGAAAATTTGATGAGAAGACGATCATAGGTCGTACTCCCAGAAACATACCTTCACTGCAGTCTAACTCAAGTGATCTTATAAGACACAGTTTTTCTACTTACCGAACAGAACATCGCGATTGTCGATATGAGTTGCTTGCTCGTTTTTGTTTGTTTAGACTGTTGTTGATTCATACTATTTATGCAACATGATCACTTATAAATTGTTTTACTCATACATAAATACATACATATACCTATACATACATGAGATATTCTGAAAAGAGAATACCATCAGTAAAAGGTAAAGTCTAAATTGTAGAAATAAGTTCATGTGATAAGGCCTAAGAAACAACTGGCATAAATCGATGTCTCACCGTGGGGCCAACAGTTCCGCTGAGTTGTAGCCCGTAGCATTCGCTCCTCTTTTCAGCTTCTTCACGTGTGTATGTGAGTCTAACCATCAGTTCCATGTAGAGACTGCGCCTCATTTGATCTCTGCGACATCTCATGTAGGCAGTTAGTGTTTATTCCATCACTTATTTTTACAACATGACGTTTTGTACACCTGAAATATGAACGAGTGACTGTAACACAACGAATGAACCAATAACAAAACGAATCTTCCCGTTACTGTGCTAACGTGATCCGGTTCTGTACGAAAGCATACCAAACGTACCACATAAAGAATATGGTTACCCTGGAAAGATTCATTGAAGACAACCCTCCAAACTTGCCCTTCTATCCCCCCACCCCTCCCCTCCTTCTGGAGAACTAAATGACTGTTATAGATTGTAGCTCTCAACAGCTTAAGAGTCTAGTATTAAAGAAAAAGAGCTGTACGTTGAGGAGAGCATCAATCCAATGCATATTTTCAGTTTCGGAGAGAAGAGAGAAAGGGTAGTAAAAAGGCCAAAGCAAGAACGTCAATGAAGGTCTCGCTTGTCCATTGCACTTGACCAAAATCACTTCCACGTTGTGACGCTCAATGACAATTTCTGTAAAGTGATCTTTACCATTTACTTCCTTCTCCTTATGTGGCAAAAGATTTCCTGCCCTGAAAATCCATCTTGGTTGCAGTAGCTGAGCATTCAATCGAAGGCGAGTTATTTTTAGTTCAATCATAGCGAGTAAGGTGCAATATTTCCTTTGCCATCAGTACTACAAGACTCCTTCGCTTTCTAATAGAGCACAGAAAACAGTAGGGATGTTTTTATAATAAATGTTTTATTAACTCTACGCCTTTTGAAAGTAAAATGACCTTATAACCTCAGGGTGCATGCGAGAATGGTCTACACCGCAAAAAAAAAGACAGCAGGCAGCCCAGCTAACCTGCATGGCGAAGGAACGCATTCTTGAGGAGCATCTCTGGAACGGCAGTGGTCTTGTGGACCGTACGACCAATTCCTTGACATTATAATAGAGAATATGGCTTTCATTTTATTCTTTGCGAACTCCTCATTCACATTTTTGTCGTAATCACGGAGCTTAGAAGTGACCAACTTTCCTGAAAAAGTATGTGTTATCCCCTAAACAACAGGGTTGTGATATAATTATGAACAAGGACGCTTACCAACATATTCGTACTTGTCTTCTTTATTTACGTCTTCCCTCATACTCGTATCGACCACGTCAATGTCGGCTACTTCCTCTCTCATAAACCCTTTTGTTTCTGTAAATGAAGCACAGGAATAAGAACAGCTCTTCTTGAAGGAACAAAATTTGTGTACCATCACTTTTTTCCCCATGCTCCTTCGGTATGAAAAACGTTCTGTGTATCGAGCCACTACAGCTAGCAGTCTCCCTAAGCAAAACAATTGCATCATCTTTTTACATAGCTAGGAAGAATATATAATGAAGCATACTCAGTAAATTCGTTTGCTTCACTTCCTTCCTCAGGCTCTTTCGGTATGAAAAACGTGCTGTGTATTGAGCCACTGCAGCTAGCAGTCTCCCTAAACAAAATAGCTGCATCTTCTTTTTTACATAGCTAGGAAGAATATATAATGAATCATACTCAGTGAGTTTGTTTGTTTTACTTATTTCCTCACGCCCCTTTGGTGTGGAAGAGGTGCTCTGCATCAAGTCACTGCAGGCAACAGTCTCCCTAAACAAAATAATTACATCATCCTTGTTCATAGCTAGGAAGCATAAATATTAAAGCACACTTATTATCAGTCGGTTCGTTTAACTCCAGAAATTTGATTGCTTCAAAAAAACGCCAAGTCGTTTTCACTTCGGTCGTACACGTTCTCAGCTTCTTCCAGCGAACACGCAATGCCCTCCAAATTGTTTTCAGTTTTCCCACTGAAGCTTCAAACACGAGATTATCTCGTGTTATGCCGAATGTGTGAACGAAACCCACTGGTCACATTATGTCCTTCTTCCCTCATTATACTTGTAATTCTTCTCCATGCGTTATCTCTTGGGATTCGCATTTTAAAATCTCCATTCCTTCGATCCCAGATACACTCCTCTTTTTCCACCAACTCTATTAGACGCAAGCGCAACTTATCTGAAAATAGGCAGCATGTTTTGAAAAAATATCCCCCATGTTGCATGTTTCTGTACTGTATGTTGTATGTGTTGTATGGGTAAACACATAAAGGAGGAAAAATTGCCTTTCTCGTCGATAAATCCCGACACTTTGGAGATGAGCTCCGCAATCCATACGTCCATATCCATTCCAATAGGTGTTGCTGACATAAGGGCTGAAAAACTGGAAATTTCATTCGTTCCGGCAAATATTTAGAATCATGAGCTGCACAAAATGTCTGTAGTTACTAGAAAAGAACAGGGAAACATCCTAAGAAAGGCAGAACGCACTGAACGATGAATGAGTGCACTCATCGTAGGTTTTCCTGCCGACTAGTTTGCAGCAAAACGCACCAATCTGCAGTAAAAACAGCAAATCTGCGTCATAGTCAATCGATAGCTCGCACTCGATGACTCATACCGCAGGATGCAGGCACAAAGCGAGTGAATGGAGCATGTTTCGGTTTTGCGATTCTATCGGCAGATTGTTGTGATTTTTATTTCTTTATCGCGCCCCGTATCGATGACCGATCTTCTGTTACAAGAGACTGCTTTCAGACTTCAACGATCGACCGACGGCCACTTGGTGACAACATTGGACGGGGAGACGGGCGTTAGGAACAATTTTGGGCAATCGATTTGCCGCACGCGGCTGTCGCGCACCACTCATTCGCCGTTATTACNGCTCTAGCGTTCTTCATACAGCTCAATCGATATGCGATCATTATTTTATGCATAATTCTACTATTACTACTTTTGTTCTTGTATTTCTCACCTACTGCTGCATCCTGCTACATTCCTTGCCGCGCGACGCCCCTCTCACCGCGACGCGACCATTTCGTACCTAACGCACCACACCCCATTGGACGTATTGCGTCCAACTGGCCAGTGCCAGTGACTGGCCATGTAGCTAGCGAGCACCGTCGGTCGATCGGTCATTGAGGTCATTGAGTCTGAAAGCAGTTAATGCGGGCGGTCATTCAGACACCCACGCACACACACACACAACACACACATAACGGGCATGAATATGAAACATGCGATAAAAAAAAACAACAAAATTTCTGATCAGATCGCAAAGTCGGAACCATCCCTGCTCTCCCTCGCTTTGTGTCGGCATCCCGCAGTGTGCGTCAGTGGGCGCATTCATACTCGGTGCCGTGGGAGGAAGCTGTCCCATCAGAATAAATGTTAACTATGATGTAGAAAGAGGGAGAAGATATTAGAGCGTATGTATTATGGTCACATGGTTTTACTGATTTTTAACATTTGTTTTGCTTGTTCACCATTCGTTTGTACTTGTACGACAGAGTTTTGAGCGTTCCTATTGCGCACTGCAGTTCTTTTTAAAAGGCCAACTGATTTTATTTGTTTTCATTGTTTGCTTAGTAAGGTGTTAAATAACTATAAGCAGCCCGTAACATAGGCTCTTTTAGTAAGCTTGTGCAGATAGTAAACGATGTTGTATTCTTTTGCAGACATTTAATATCCTGTCAATACTGCTACGGATGACCCGTGTGGAAAGTTTGTAGATACAGACTGCTGACAGAATAGGCGATAATTGCTAAAATCGTAGGGAGAATCTTTATTGTCACCTAACACATGCTCCATCTGTTTTCCCGTTGATCATCCATTTTCTCGCGCAGTCGCCAGTAACTTCTCCTTTCATCCCTGTCGCGAGCCTGCTAGTCCAGTGGATCGTCCTCGCTCGAGGGGTGCGAGGCATAGCATTCGTTTTGCTCAGAGCTTCCGTGAAGAAGTCTGACCATCGCGCTGGCAGTCGTAATGTGTTGGTTTGACGTCGAGTGAAATCTAGTCCCTAACAGCCTTGGTCCAACTGTCATCACTATATCGCTCAACGTGTCCAGTCCATCTGATCTTCGCTTTTTTGGTATATGCGTCGGCGTTCCTGCTCTTCATTCGTTGGTATTCCAGATTATCTTCTGCGTCTGCGCGTGACCATAACTGATGGAAGGCTCTTCATATGTTCTTGATTAATCTTATTGAGAGACATTTTGATCGAGGTCATTTCTTGTATATTTTCGGAAGAGAGAAATGAAAGGATGACATATCCATATTGCCGAAGATTGTGTGTTGGCGAATAGGCTCGGCTGAAACGGAAGAGATCAAAATAAAAATCGTAGATGACCTTCTCCATCGCCCTTCGAGATGTAGTACTGTTCCGTTAGCACGACCAAGGATAGCCATCTTGGTCTTGTAATTGGCGAAGCTCCTTCGGGTTTTACGAATGCTCTTCCCCGCCTCGGCGACTTCGGCCGAAACTGCCACTAAACACCGCAACTCTCCATAATCTAAAGCGGAGAGCGATCCCGAATAGATCTGCGAAACAACAGCCAGTCAGTAAGGCAAAGCTCTCGATTGAAGATGATGTGATCTATTTCGTGATGGAGCTGTCCGCCAGATGACTCTAGGTCTATCGTCGATGGGAGGACTTCTACAGGGTGCCCTGAAATTATAGGCGCCTGTTCATTGCAATGTATTCAAAGCTTCTACGCTGAGAATAAAATTTAATTTAAATGCATGTTTGCTTACATCATGTGCAACAAAAAGCTACAATCACATGTTAATATCTCCCATTAGCACGGATAGAGGCCCAAAGTGCACGTGACACGCAGGTTTCCTTCTCAAGTTTTTTTTCTGCCTTTCTTGAGTCTTGCTATCATGACTCCATACTGGGACTGCGAACCCAACATGTTCTCTTCTAATTAGGGACTATAAGGAGGAGTCAAGTGAGTCTTGATCTGAAGAGCAGGATAGTCATTCCTCTTTGCTAATACGTCGGGCAGCTCTAGCGTCCGACACTACTCTTTGACAAACTTGGCTCTGTGCACTGGAGCACCGTGTTGCTCGGAGGAACACGGGTTGTAAAAAAGTGGACCAGGACCAATACTTCAGTACACACATCAATATGCTCTTTAAATAAACATCTTTGTCAATTTTCACGCCGATATCGATGGCCGCAGGCGTATTAGTACCTATTGCCCGTAACTTCCACAAAAAAGCATTAGTTTGCTGTTCTTGTAACAGTTTTTTTGTGATAGACTGCACTATTGATTTTTCTATGCAGAACTCAATCGTTGTATCTCTCGAGTAACGGCTTTTTCGTAGAAATTTCCTCGTCAGGGAAAACGATGTAGGGTTGCTTATTTCCACTGCAGTGAGTTAGCAACCTTCCGAACTTCTGACCCTTCAATGTTCACTGAGGTCGGGAATGAAGTGGCATTTCTGGATACGATAGGAAAAGCAATGAAGCCTCTGCTTGACAATCCGCCCCATCGATTAAGTCAAGTCGTGCCCGTTGCCATCCTTCTGATGGGTCATCTAAGATTACGATCGAGTCGCAAACAGACCATTTTGATTGCCCTATTTTCGGAAACAATGGCTTAGTATCTCGTTTGAGCTTATCCTTGATTGTTTCCGCTATCTGTGTCACTCAAAGGCAGTGTTCACGATAAAATGGTTCCTGACATCTCCCCATAGGATGAATTCGAGGCCTCCCCTGATAGCATTTGTATTTGTGAAGTCAAAAAACGTTTGGATAGGGCACAATAAAGGGCCCATACCTCACGCTAAGATCCTAAAATTCTTGGAAGCCAGTGGACACACTGGACGGTTGCTGTATTCGATTCGTTCATTTCCCTCGCTTCCATCACCAATCGGGACGGAACACTTACAATCTCTTATTTGAATATCTTCTTTTTCAATTTCTTTTTAACAGCCCTCGCCTTACGAGTGGGACCGATTTTACAATTGATAAAGCACCCGCTGAAACAGGGTTACTTCTCAAAGTATGAGGATGGAGTGCTGTTGAAAAATACTAGTTATAATTGGAACAGAGAGACGTTCAAAAAAAAATTTAGCAAAGCTTATGAAGAAGCCGAAATTAGGAAGTCAAAGGTTATAGCAGCACCGATTGAGGTCCCTTCTCGAGAATTCTGAGAGATTTGTTCCCTTCCCTGAGTCAAACCGAACTGTCGATAGGCCAAGCGAATAAGCACTGAGACATATGATACATGTGTAACTGGGCGATCTGCGTTGATGGATGACCTAGTATACGATTCCTGTGCAAGAGTCTGATTTTCTTTACAGTACCTATTCTCAATTCTTTTAGGATATACAGTCTTTCATATGTTGAATATGATCGGCCGCCTGCACTCTGCTAAGTCAAAAATCTCTGGTCCAAAAAATCAGGAGCTATTGGTTTCCGGCAAAACACACACATCGACACACTTCGTGCGTTGGGCTTATTCCCTCTTATTCCGACTTGACTGCATGTTTTCACTCAAAGTACGGCCCCATTTTATCACGCGCCATACATCCCTCCTATGCCTCCGCGGGTTGGATCCAAATACCTTCTACCTTATCCTCTACCTGCTAGCATCGGTGTCGCAAATGTGCCGTCCGCACTCGTCCCAAACTTGAACGCCCTATGTCAAAATTAGCAATTTTTGCATACGTTCCGCCTTTGGTGGGCGGAGTCAAGTCATGCCACCCCATCAGCATTCCCATACCGCCGCCTTTATTCCTAGCGAATTTGAATGCCTCAGGTGCAAACTGCCAATTTTTACGCACGCCCAGCCCGAAGTCGGGTTTGTCAACTACCATTAGAAGTCCCATCCTGCCGCCTGCACACCTTCCAAAGTTAAGCGCTCCAGGTGCGTGCACGGCAACAGCAGTTGTGGATTTTCGCTTAAACCCCGCTCACTTATGCGGAGTCCGGCCCTGTTTTTCAGCATAAATGTTTCGATCCTGCCGCCTGCCCTTCTGCGAAATTTCAACGCCCTATGGGCACAGAAACAGTAGTTATGAATTTTCGCCTGAACCCCGCTCACTGTGGGCGGATTTCGGTCCTCCCGCCCACCATAAATGTTCGCACCGTGCCGCCTGTACTCCTACCGAATTCGATTGCTCCAAGTATGAATTTCCGCTCAAAAATTTATTTCGCGCAAACTCCACCCCCTGTGGGCGGAGTACGGTCCTTCCACCCACCACAAGTGTTCCTATTCTGCCGCCTGTAGCCCCCTAAATTTGAAAGCATTCGGTCCTCAGGTCAGGAGTCATGAATCTAAGGTCAGACGCACACACACACATATACGCACAAACACACCAATAGACACATTTAGCCGATCATACGAGTAAGATTCTGCCCATAACGTTCCATTATCCTACTCATGTATTCCTTTCCATTTCTTTAATTTCGACTATGGATTAAGGATATGATAGAATATAAAGAGTTTCCGCCCTTTATCGTAGTCACCTGCCACCTAGGTGCGGAACAATTTTATGAATGCCGCTAGTTAGTCATAAATCAAGAGGCTGAGAGGCTTGTACGAGTTTCGAGGTGAAACGAAGAAATTGAGTCGTATGGGCTGGCTCTAGATAGCAATTGAAGCACGTGCGCCCCTTTAGCAATGTGGCTGTGAACTTTCCTTTCTTCAGGAAAGTATTCTAATAGAATGAAGGGAATCCATCTTATTAGCAAAGAGAAGAAAGCATACGAATCATCGCTTACCAAATGCGCTTCACCCACTTAAGATTTTCCTTTGCTCAATCTTCTTTTCGTGCCTTGCATGTAACATAGATGAGTGCAAGAATTCGCTTTACTATGGGGCTATAGGCGTCTTTCATAGTCCACGACCGGTCGCTCGATCGGTCGAGGAGGCCGCGCTAGTTATGGGTGCCGCCGTGGACGGTCCCGCGCGATCAGTCGAGCGACCAGTCGAGGGCTATGAAAGATGCCATAGGACCGTTGCCAGCCAAAACTTCTGGGTGTCTTTTACGAGAACGCACCAACTGTCAACTTTTGTTTTTTCTTATATTCGTTCGTTTGTAATGATCGAGGAACTTCTTAGCAGTTGAAATGTCTCACGTCCGACTCACTTCAGCCGAGAATTTGATGAAAGAACAAACATTGGTCGTATTTCCAGTAACTTCCTTCACTGGAGGGACATTGAAATTATTGCTTTCTTAATTTGGTTTGTTTGGACAGTGGTGATTCACACTTTATGAATTTTGTTTTATACATATATACATACATGAGATATTCTTAAAAGATGATACAAGCAAGGACCAAGAACAAATCTTCCAATGAAAAATTAAGTGTAGAAATGAGTACATGCGGTAAGGCCTAGGAAACATCTGGAATGAATCGATGTCTCACCGCGGGGAGATGACCAACTGTTCCCGAGAGGTGTACGCTCTCAGCATCCGCTACCCTTTTCAGCTTCTTCACGATTTTTGTACCAGGTGAGTACATGCATCAGTTCCCTAGAGAGATTGCGCCCCATCTGATCTGTCGTCCGTCTCATGCGGGCAATTACTGTTTGTTCCACCATTTACAACATGACATCTGAAATGTGAACGAATGATTCTAGAAGAACCCAAATTCAATCGACAAAACGAAAAAAACATAACGAATCATTCTCGTTACTGTGCTGAAGTGATCCGCTCCGTTTTGTACAGCAGCATTCTAAACATGCCACATAAAGAATACGGGGACACTTTCACCATGGGAAGATTCAGTGAAAACAACCCTCCCAGCTTCCACTCCAATCCACTGCATATTTCCTGTTTCGGAGGGATAGAGAAAAAAAAAACAGAAAATGGCAAGAGCGAAAACGTCAATTGAGGTATCACTTGCTATAGCGCTTGGCCTAAATCATTTCCACGTTATGACGCTCAACGACGATTGGTGGAAAGTGGTCTTTCCCTCTTACTTTCTTCTCCTTATGTGGTAAAAGGTTTCATGCCCACAAATTCCATCTTGGTTGCAGTCGCTGAGCATTTGATCAAAGGCGAATAATTGTTAGTTCTAATCAATCATAGCGAGTAAGGTGCAATATTTACTTTGCCATCAGTACTACAAGACTCCTTCGCTTTCTAAAAGAACACAGAAAAAATTAGGGATGTTTTTATAATAACTGTTTTATGAACTCCACGCCCTTTGAAAGTTAAATGATCCTATAACCTCGGGTGCATGCGAGAATGATCTACACCACAAAAACAAGACAGCAGACAGCCCAGCTTACCTGCATTGTTGAGGAGCATCTCTAGAACGATAGTGGTCTTGTGGGCCGTACGCCCAATCCCGTGTCGTTATTACAGAGAATATTTCTTCCATTTTATTCATGGCGAACTCCTCATTCACCTTTTGATCGTAGTCACGTAGCAGAGAAGCGACCAATTTTCCTGAAAATTTATCTGTCGTCTCCGGAACAGATATAACTATTAGGTTTCTCGCCATTGAATTTTCAAAAATATTTCAAAACGAACTAACTTGGAAATAAGAGGTATGCACCGTCAGAGTCTACAACTTTTCGCCAACGTTCTGGCAGCTTGTCGATTCATTTCTCCCAGAAGGACGGGGGCTGGGACTTGAAAAAACCGTCGATTGCTTCTCTGATGTCGTCTTCATTCTCGAACTGTTTCCCGTTCAGGAAGCGTTGGAGGTGGCTAAAGAGCCAGTAGTCGGAAGGCACAAGGTAAGGGCTGTAAGGAGGCCGAGGGATGACAAGCCAGCCGAACTTCTCCAACTTGGCTTGGGTTGCCTTCGCAGGGTGTGGTCGAGCCTTGTCGTGGTGGAAGCGGATGTCGGCTCCGCGTCCGCGTATCCGGTGAATATAGGCTTTGAGCTTCTTCAGCTGGGTGACGCAGGTAGTGGCGTTGTTGGTCTGTCCCTTCTCAAGCAGCTCTCAGTACTCGATGCCGCGTCATGACCACCAACACGACAGGAGCACTTCCTTGGGGTGGATGTCGGATGGGACGGGTTGTGGCTCTTCTTCCTTGTTGACCCACTGCCGTTTCCTCACAGGGTTTTTAGAGAACCCATTTCTCATCTCCAGTGATCAGCGAAATCAGTGAAAAATCTCCTTTCTTGAATTTGGCTATCCAGGTCTTGCACGTGTCGTAAGAGATAGCGTCAGCGCCATATGTATCCACTATCTTGGCTTGGGCTTCCTTCGCTTTTAAGCCAGACTGATGAAGGAAAAAAAGACTGCGCCTCAGGTGCATCCTGTCGGGTTGAAACTTGGGCGGCATTTTGGAATCCGAATGCAAGCTGGGAAAGTGTGAGGTAGCGATGTGAAAGTCTCTTGAGTGCATCATGCACACATCACGATAAGTCATAAACATACACGCAAGGTTAATATGGTGCGATCAAACACGTGGCGGGAAACTTTCCGGTCAACCTAATATAAACAAGTATGCCTACCAAAACATTCGTACTTGTCTTTTGTATTTACGTTCTCCTGCATACTCGTACCGACCACATCAATGTCGCCCACTTCCTCTCGTATAAACCCTGTTGATTCTGTGAATGGAGCATGTGATCAGAGGCAGCTCTTCCTAATACGGAACAAAATTCGCGTACCGTAACTTCTTTGCTCACGCTCCTGTGGTATGGAAGTCGTGTTATGCATCGGGTAGTTACGGCTAGCAGTCTCCCTAAACAAAATAACTGCATCATCCTTGTGCATAGCTAGGAACCTTAAATAATAAAGCATACTCATTGTCAGTGAGCTCATTTAGTTCCAGAAATTCGAGTGCTCCAAAAAAAGGCCATGTCATATTCGATACATCGTTACACGCTCTCAGCCTCTTCCAATGATCACGTAATCCCCTCCATGTCGCTTTCAGTTCATACACTGAAGCATCAAACACGAGATTATCTCATGTTATGCCAAACGAGAGAACGAAACCCACAGGTCACATTGTGCCCTTCTTCTTTCATTATACTTAAAATTCTTCTCCATGCGTTATCTCTTGGGCCTTGCATTTTATATTCTTCATTCCTTCGATCCCAGAGACCTTCCTCCTTCTGCACCAACTCTATTAGACGCCAGCGCAAATTATCTGGAAATCGAGTATCTCATGTTGCATGTTTTTGTACGTTGTAATTGTAAATGATTTCAACACATGTATGAAAAAAACAGCATTCGACGTCGACGAATTCTGTCTTCAAAATGAGCCCTGCACTCTATTTACTGCACATATACATCTTTAGAGATAATAAAAATGTAAAGCACGTAAAGCGAAATTTTCAAGATTCATGATCATTCAGCATAATGATATTGAAGTCACACCTAGCAATGATCGGGATCGCTTTGAGCGAGACTTCTACATTGCAAAGCCCCCTCTAGCCCACATCGAAATGCGATCTTCAGGTTGAAGTCAAGAACTCGAGCGCAAATTATCTCATACTAGTGCTCAGCCCTCATCTACAGAAGCGGATGCATTTCAGTGGTTTCACTTGGTGAGAATCGATTTCAAAAATTGTATTACTTTTGTTTGAACATTCAGTCACCTAAATCTTACTTCTCATCATCGATAATAACATAGTGGATTACCATTGAAAAAAATAGACTCAAACAACTCACACATATATTGCTTTACAGATCCCAGCCATACAGGCGGCGTTCCAATAGAAGTTTCTGACAGAAGGGCTGAAAAACTGAAAGTTTCGATCGTTTCGAGATTCATCTAAAATTATGATCTGCACAGAAATCTCTGTAGTTAATAACGAGAAAAGAACAAGGGAACATCCCAAGAAAAGCTGAGTGCACAAGTGGGCCATTCATAGTAGGGCGGCTCAGATGCAGATATCTGCTGCAAAAGGGACTAGTCAGCAGAAGGACGCGCCAGTAAGCAGCAAAACGGACTAGCCTGCCTTTGTCGTCAACCTATAACTCTTTCTTTTACAACTCTCTTATATCAGAATTTGCTGTGGGAATGCCGCCTGGAAGGCAAGCGTTCGAAGTCCCATCATAGGCGAATACCTACTTTTCTCTGCTTTACATTCTAGTTAGTACTAACGTGTTTTGATTCTCAAATGAGAGAGAGTAAGAATTGGCAACTTTTGGTTTCAAACCAGAGAATGAGAGACGAACAATACACAATGGAATAAGGAAAAGTGGTTAGGGTGAGTGTGAGTCGAGTGTTAGTCGAACATTAGTTTAAAATAGACAGCCGCTATTTTACTTGGAACCGAGGTGTGCCATTGTACCTCCGGATACCACATATCCTCCAGTGATCGATGCACCCACAGGAACGAAAATTCAGTCCGGCACTCGGCTCTTACAGT